GGTCCCTGTGCTTTGCTAAGCTTGTTCTAAGTAGGTGCTTTAGACCACTGAGCCATCTCACCAGCCCCCATGACTGCATTTTAAAGTGACACTTTGGTCTTGGTTGGTAGTTTTGGCTGAGTAAAATGAAAGCAGTTTGATTATATGTTCTGTCAAGCCTAGAAGATATTTTCTTTTTGGAAAGTGTGTTTTTAAAAATTGATTATCTGAGGAAGCTTTAATTTGCTAATTCATTTCTGGAAACCAAAACTGACTTGCCTGCACCAATTTTGCCTTACCCCTTATTTGCAGTATGCTTAAGATTCTTGAGATTTCTTAAAAGAAGAAATATTAGAAAAGTGCTGCATTTTACTGTCTCAAATAAGGTGCATGGTAGGAGCCATGCTTTTATTACCTTAGTACTGTTCTACTGAGCAATGCATGCTACAAACTGTGATTTTATTTTCATCTTCCTCTAGAGTTCATCTTGATTTCAAATGCAAGATGAAAAGAAGAAAGGACTGGTTCACCAGTATAGCCTGGGGTTCTTAAGTAACTATCAATTTAAAAGATTAAAGCTGATTCATATCACAGTGATATAAAAGTTTTGTCAAGATTTTTCTCGGCATGTGCCCTAACCAGGAAACTTCAACAGGTGTTCCAGTATGAATGTCCATATATTGTCTTGGAAAGTTCACCTCACTTCTCTGGATTTCCACTACAATAAGATGAAGGGGAAGGATAGGGTAACCTTTAAGGTGCCTTACAGTTCTGTGACATTCCTGTGGTGCTGTTCACACAGTTGTATTTATCCACTCACTGTTATGGGTACATGAATCTTTATTTTCCACCATTAATATCACACTTCTGGAAGGAAGTAAGAGGTCATGTAATCCAACTCTACTTCCTTTCCAGCTAGTTAGACTGAGGCCCGGTGAGGTGAAGTGATTTGTCCATTATCACCTAGCTCACCCTTGGCACACTGCATGTTGTGTCTTTGTATAACAAAGATGGTATTTGAGCTCACTACTTCTGCGTCTCTTACTTATGCAGGGACATTTGGATTTTGTGCTTTTGACTGTAATTTTCAACTTGTCTAAACATTTAGAAATCCTCTAAACAATCCTGGAAATCTCCAGGCGATGAAGATGATAAAGACTGCAAAGAAGAGGAAAACAAAAGCAGTTCTGAAGGTGGAGATCCTGGCAACGACACCAGAAACACAGCTTCAGATCTGCAGAAAACCAGTGAAGGGGTAAGGGTGCACATGTGATTGCGCTCATCTTTGCTATTTCAGATGACATCTTGCTTCAAAATCTGTGTTTGTATCTCAGCATTAGTACACATTGCATTAGAAAGTGGAAATGCACTTGCAGCTTGTTATGTGCATCAGCTCCCAAATCCTGAATAAGCAATTGAATGCTTAGAGTTTGAAAACAAAGCGGAGCTAAATGAGGATTTTATCTGCCAGTCAGTGCAGAACTCTGAACAGGTTTAGTCTTTTTTAAACTAACATTAGCAAGTTTGGGATCTTTTTTAGTAAATTGCAAATTGCTGAAATTGTGAACTTTGGCAGTTGTATTTCTTATATCACAAAATAAATGTCATGTTCAAAATAGATTATTACATATTACTGCTTCTTTCCTAGAAGCAGTATATAATTTGATACTCATGGGAACTATTTAAATATTTAGGCAGTAGATGAAAATTGATATTTAAAGTACCTATAGGAACAAATGTACCCATTTTGACTCATTAACTTCCATTAACCTGTTAACTTCAACATGGTAAATCCACACTTGTAAAAGGCAAAATTTTCTACCTGGGCATTTTCTTTATGAGGACTACTTGGATAGTGTCAAATTACCTAACAATAACACATGAAATATACTATTACTCGTTAGTTAAACTAATTTCATCTAAATTCTTGCCTGTTCAAGTTGTTTCTGTTTACCTCTCAACTTTTTCTTTTTCCACCGCAGTTACCTATAATTGCTTTCAAAGTGTTGTGCTTCTAATTCTTCTCCCCTTTGTTTCACCCAGCTTAGCCTTGTTGTCCTCCCCCTCTGACATCACCCCAGTAGCTTATCTGTTCTACCCATGCCTTCCTAGAGACAGACAGCTGCTCACACCACTGAGGACTTGAAGACTTGGCTCACTTAATTCTCCTTATATCCCACCGCTGTCTTCATCCTAGGTAGCTTCAGTATACATGTTGCAAAAACTCCCACAGTTTTTTCTCCCTTTTCCACTACTCTTTATTTCTACATGCACTTCTTGTGACAGAGGAAAAGTTGATTCCTCAATACAGGCTGTGGGCAGATAGCATCAACGCCACTTGGTATTGGAACATGTTAGAAATGCATGCATTTCTCAGGCACAGCTCCAAAGCCAAACTCTGAATTAGAATCTGTATTTTAACTACTCCTTACCTTAAATAATTCATTACACATCAAAGTTTATGAAGCGCTCATCGATACTTTTCTTTTGCTGGAGTCTAGAATATCATCTTCTCTTGCTCCAAGATGCGAAGGCACTTGTCCCCTTTCTCTCCTGTACCGTTATTCTCCTCCCGTGGCGCCTTCTCTTCTTCATATAACAAGTCAGGTCTCCACCTAGAGGCGGCATATATATCCATCATAGAGCTCACTCCTTTCACCTTTTTGTCTCTGAACTTTTTTTTTAAGGGTTTTTATTTATTTATTCTGTATTTTAGAGAAGGGTCTACAGGGTGTTCAGGTTCTCACTACTAGATCAGACTCGTGGTGATCCTCCTGTTTACAGCCTCCCAAGTGCTGGGATTATAGGTGTGTGCCACCAGGTCCAGTCTCAATTGCCATCTCAGCACGCCCCAGCTGCAGGGCCAGCATGGCAGGCCCAAGGATTGAGCCCCCAGCCCCTGCCCCTGCCCCTGCCCCTGCTTGCAGGTACTGTAATTCACTGAGCTATTTGGCGGCCTTTCTAAACTTCTTAAAAGAGCTCTCTTTTTTCTCTAGCCTTTATTTCTTCACCTGCTATTCATGAGGTAAGCCCATTACATTCTTGTTTCTTCTTTAACCAGTTCACTGGACCTGTGCTAGTAATTCCCATTCCCAAGCCTAGTGTCTCCTTTAGTCTCCACTTGCCTCAGCAGCTTTAGCACCACATGCACTTTCTTATCCTCACTTTTCCTCAACAGTCTGCTTCCTCTCACTGTTCTCAGTCTCCTCCTGGAGCTCCTTTCTTCAGTCTGTCTTCTCACACTTGTCTCCTCTGAAAATTTCCTCTGTCCATCTTTCTCCAGAGTTTCAATTTTAAAAGCAGTATGTGTGCCTTCCTGCTGTCTACCTCCTGCATTGCAGATTCATTTTCCTACTTGATACCTTCAAAGCATTTCAGAAAATAGTAGTTGCTCTTAGATAACAGTAACAACCTATGTGCCACTTCATTTTGTATCACAGATTCCTAGAGGTAGGTGTAGGTGTTATCTCCATTTTTTACCTGAAGAAACTGAGGCTGAAATGATTGGCCCATGGTCACACCAAAAAGTCAATGATCTTCTTTCATTTTTAGCCTGTTTTTAATATACCTGCTACATACAAAAGAATGCATGTATATAGTATATAAAGTTAGTGTAATACTATAATGAATACCAGTGACACTATCACTCTACCCTAAAGCTAGAACATAGCAATTAATTTGAATCTATTTACAGGTTCTTCCCATTTCTAGCTCCCTTCTGCTCATAGATGAGCACTAACATATTTGTTACTTCTTTTCATTGTGCAATTTTTAGCTCATACCTCACATTATATACATTCTTACAAGATTGTTAGCTAGGCATGGTGGTGCATACCTGAATCCCAGCACTCAGGAGACTGAGGCAGAAGGAGTGCCACAAATTCAAGGCCAGCCTAGGCTACATAGTCAGTTCAAGACTATCCTGGACTCCACAGCAAGACCCTATCTCAAGAAAGATTTGCATTATTTATAATTTTGCTGGGTTTTTAACTTTTTAAAAAAATATGACATCTACTGCTGTGCTTTTAAGGTTCCTTCTTGTGCTTATATGAAGCAGTAGTTTACTTATTTTCACTTCTGTATGACCTTCAGCTCTGTGAGCATACCACAGTTTATCCACTGTCTGACTGATAGGTATTGAGGTTGTTCCCAGCTATTTACAGCTAAGAACTATATTGCTGCAAGCACTCTCATTTCATCTCCTGCTGCACATGTGCGAGAATTACCTTAGAGTACGTAACTAGAACTCAAAGAAATAAGTCAAAAGTTTTTGGGTTTTACCTTTACAAGATAGGAAATTGTTTTATGTGCTTGGGCCAACTTCCAATGACACCGTCAGTGTTTAAGACTTCTCTGAAATTAACTTGGCATTGTCAGACTTTATTTTTTGCCAAATGGGTTTAATATGGTTGTTATAATATTAATTTATGGGTCTCTGATTAATGGTAAGATTGAGCTTCTTTTCATGTGTATTGATCACTGGTTTCCTTTCTGTATAATGCTTGTTTTGGTGTTTTTTCCATTTTCCAATTGGATTTTCTTTTATCAGTTTGTAGGGCTTTGTATTTCTTGGCTTGGAACAAATGTGGATTTTCATATGCCTTGCAGATATTTTCCCCAAGTTTATGGCTTCCCCTTTCAATTTCTCTTTTTTTTTTTTTTTTTTTTTTAGCTGTTCAGTTTTTATTGAACATGTTACAAAATAAGGTTAGGTCGAAAAGCCCAAAGCCCATGTCATCCTCAGATTCCTCCAATTTTTCTTTCTTTGCTTCCACCTTCCTTTCCTCAGCTGGTGCAGCAGTGGTGGAGGGCATGCAGCGCCTGCCGCGGGGGCAGGGAGGGCCTCCAGCCCCAACATTGCAGATGAGGCTCCCGATGTTGACATTGGCCAGGGCCTCTGCAAACAAGCCAGGCCAAAAAGGTTTGACACTGACACCAGCCACTTTAATGAGGGCATTGATCTTATCCTCCGTCATGGTCACCTGTCTTCGTGCAGGATAAGGGCGGAGCAGATACAGGCGAGCTCCAGAGGCCATGATGCAGGCTGCCAAGCGTGGTGCTAGTCGCTGGAAGAAGTGAGGGCCTCACCCCAACGCAGCCTTAGGCAGCCTTAGCTTCCTCGGAAGAACTGAGCATCTTGGCGGCAGCTGAGGAAAGCTCAATTTCTCTTTTAGCCTTTTAGAAAATATACTTTCTTCATTTGATTGTAGTCAACTGTTTTAAACTCTTCTCTCTGTGGTATCTAAGTATAACCACATGGCCCAGTGTTATGTATGTAACCAGCATTATGTGTATAACCATGTGGCCCAGTGTTATGTATTGAGCAGTCCTCCTTTTTCTCTCTAATCTGCATTGCCGTCAGCCCTGTGTCTGTGTGGCTGTTTGGACTCTCTACTCTGCTTTGTCTTAATTATAGTAGCTTTCTAGTAAGTCCTGATACTTCGTAAAGCTAATAGCCCAATACTGAACTTTTCAAAAATTTTGTAGTAATGGTCTGGGATAGAATACCCAAAAGTTTTTTGGTTTTTTTTTTTTTTTTTTCGATAAGAGAATTTGTAACAAACTAGAAAGAAAGATCCAAGTAAAGAATTACTACAAGATGTTAATATAAAAAATTGTTGAAGCAGTATCCTTTAAAAGGCAAAGAGGGATAAGATCTATGGCACGTAGGAAGGGTTTCCCTAGTTTATCCACTGAAAGAGGAGGGACGGCCACAGAGTACTTGGGCTCAAACACAGACAAGTGGACACTTGGGGTGAGAACTTGTTAAAGTTCTCATATGATTGCTTCTGTTTTCTGGGGAAAGAAGGTCAGCACTTGAGAGCAAGAAAAGGAAAAAGTGCTAAAGTTTCAAGAAAGAAGAAAAGGTATAAAATAGTCATAGGATAATAGTAGACTGACTGGACTTGAGAAGTGGCCTTGAATTGCCAGGCAGCAGTAGGAGCCCACTTGGGATTGGTAGTTGTTGGTAGTTGTGAATTTAAAGTGAGAGCAGTAAGACTGGAAGTTTGTTTTCTCTACATGTATTCAATTTTGTGGTCACTGGGAGGGCAGAGAATTGAATTGAACTAAAATTAGAGTTTTCCCAGAGATCAGGGTAAAGTTGATTAGAGGCCAGAGAGTTAAGGGTATGTGCTTGCAGGGGAAAGTGATTATAATGGTGGAATTCAAAATATGTCAACAAGGAAAGATAGATATGAAGATGAGATAGGACCAAATTTGTGTATGAAAATGTTAGAATTTGAATACCAGATA